CATTGCATAATTTCAATTATTTTTAATGCAATTTTAATCGAATTCCTCGAAAAATGTAATTATTCTTAAAAATTTTATTAAAAAAAGAATTTAATTTCCAAAGAATTTAATGATTTAAAAAATTTGTTGATAACATTTTTTATGAGAATTTAATTTCAAGGAACATGAAATTAATAAATTATTTATTTTTGTATTTAAATAATTGAATTCTCGTAGAGAATTTACTAATAAAAATGGTTTTAAAAATGAATTTCAGTTAAAATTTTAGATTATAATTAAATATTGAAAGCATTATAACGTGGATCTTTAGAAATAATTAAATTTTGAAAAAGTTTTAAACTAAAATCATTAAAATTCCTAATTTTTCATATTTTTGACAAAAAATTTTGTAGAATTAATTCTTTTTAAAAGTTTAATAGGATTTTTATTGAAATTATTTCAAGTTTTTATTTTTCAATAAATATTTAATTGCAGAATTTTCGAATAATTGAAATTTTATAAAATTGAATTGTAAACGAATGAATTTGAAAATTCTCAAAGAACTTTTTTAAAAATTATTAAAACTAATGGATTCATTGAAGAATTTTAGTTAAAAACACTAGAAAAAAATTTAATTTTAGAGAAGTTACAAATTATTGCAGAAATTCAATTATTTTCAAGAGTAATAAAATTCTTCTTAAGGATTCAATTATTTTTACTAATAATGAAACTCATCGCAGCGTTTCAATTATTTTTCATACAATTATAATTGAATTCCTTGAAAAAAATAATTATGTTCATGAAAGTTTTAATAAAATTCGACAAAAAGGATTCAATTATTTAAAAATTTGTTAATAAAATTATGTATAGTTGAATTCTCGTAGAATTTTTTAATTAAAATTGATTTAAAAATTAATTTCAGTTTAAGTTTTAGATAATAATTGAATTTTGGAGAAGTTACAAATAAAATTGCAATTTTTAGAAATAATTGAATTTAGTAAAGGTTTCAAATTAAAATCTTCAAAAATTTGAATGTTTCATACTTTTAATTAAAAATTCTATGCAACTAATTTTTTTTAAAAAACTTAATCGAAATTTTTTAAAATTATTTCAAGTTTTTTATTTTTTAATGTATATTTAATAGAAGAATTTCCGAATAATCGAAATTTCACGTAAAATTGAATTGTAAATAAATGAATTCGAAAATTCTCAAAGAACTTTTTCAAAATTTATTAAAAATAATGCATTTAAAGAAGAATTTTAGTTAAAAATACGAAAAAAAAAATATTAGCATTATATGGTGAATTTTTTGAAATAATTAAATTTGGAAAAGGTTTCAATTATTTTTCATACAATTATAAGTGAATTCCTTAAAAAAAGTAATTATGTTCATGCAAGTTTTAATAAAATTCTTTATGAGAATTGAATTTTGAGAAACATTCAATTATTCAATAAATTATTTACTTTTGCACTTAAATAATTACATTCTTGTAGAATTTTCTAATAAAAATTGATTTTCATTTCATAAAAATGAATTTCAGTTAAAATTTTAGATTATAATTGAATATTAAAAGCAATGTAGCGTGAATTTTTAGAAATAATTGAATTTTGAAATGAATTTTTTTTGAAAAAATTGAATTGATATTTCTTTTATATTATTTGAAGGTTTTATTTTCTAATATGCATTTAATTAAAGAATTTAGGAATAATTGAAATTTCGTGAAATTGAATTTTGTAAACAAACGGATTTGAAAATTGCCAAAGAACTTTTTCGAAAATTATTAAAAACAATAGATATAAAGTAAAATTGTAGTTAAAAATTTTTGAAAATAATAATTGAATTGAAATAATGAAAATATTTTTGAAGAAGTATAATATTCTTATAATATAAAATAATGATTCTATCACTCGGTCATCTTTAATTATTATAAAATATGAAGAAATCGATGACTCCGAGTCGAATCACTCTGAACTCAGAGTTATCGATATCTTCATGTTTTATAGTTATAAAAAAATTTAATAAACTAAAATTTCATTCATTGTAAAAAATAACACCAAAATTGATTATTTGAATCTTTTTTTAGTGTCAATTTAATATGCAACACTTTTTAATACCTCGCGATTTACTGTGATAGAGAAACAATTTTTTCGCAATTTTTTCTGTTTATTAAATTCCCGTTTTTAAATACGCAAAAAACAAGACAAAATTCTTAATGCAAAGAGTTAAACCTCTTGCTTTTCTTCGCACAAGATTCAAGCACCTTACAAGTCTGCGCTCCGGTTGACTATAAATAACCGAAACTGTTTACTCGCTTCAAATGCTTTTGAATGTCTTATTTTCGAGCCACGTTATATTAATGCAATCCCTTTCAAGAAAAAAGTTTTACATCATTTTCATAGAGAAACAAAAAGAGGTGATTTTCAATTAAAAATCTAATATCGAGTGTTAATTTATTGATGGATATTTTTTTTATATCATATATATGTACGTGGAGACAGCCTATCAGATTCATGTTTCTTGCATATGTTGTTCTCTACATATATTACAGCATACATCCTGGAAACTGTTTCTTGATGCTCGCTAAGATATTTGACGTTTGTTTCCTCAACCCATATCAAGATAAAAATATGTGAATTCAAAGGAAAATGTGCACTCAAAGTGGGAAAATTTATAAATAGATCTTTATGCCAAATGACAAAGATTTCATTCGTAATTGCATTTTCAAGAAAGGTACTTTATTGAATAAATTAATAATAATTAAAATTTTTTTGCAAATTTCTTTCGCGAAAATAATTTATCTAACTCTCTACCTACTCGATTTATTTAGTCAATTAAATTTAAACAACAAAAAATTGATAAGGTAGTTATTACTTTTGAAAATGATTGAATTCTTGTGATATTGTTATTTATGAAAATAATTTTTTTCCTGTGAAATTTTTATTTGTTTGGAAAATAATTGAATGCTAGTGTAGAATATTATCAAAATTTTTGTTTAATAGTTGAATTCTTTTGGGAAGTTTTATTAAAATAGTTGAATATTAAAAATCATTGAATTAAGAAAATTTTTTGAAAATAATTGAATTTTGCAATGAATTTTATTAAAAGTTCTGAAAATAATTGAAATTTTGCAATTAATTTTATTAAAATTTTTGGAAATAATTGAAATTCTACAATAAATTTTATTAAAATTTTTGAAACCAATTGAATTTTATTACTTTTGAGAATAATTGAATTCTTGTGATGAATATTGTTATTTATTAAAATAATTGAATTCACGTGAAGTGGATTTTTTTATTCCGAAGAGAATGAAAGACGTGAAATCAGTGACATGATTTCTAAAAACCTCAAGAAAATAGTTTTTGTTTCTGTGGGACATAAAAAAATCGGTCACCTGGAGAATGGAGGGGGGGGGGATTAGATTTAAAAGCAATACAGTGGGGAGAAGTCAACATAAACAGAGGGGTTAAATACTTATTAAAATTCGTTAATGATTGTAATGTATACTTGCATAAACAACATGTACCTAAACTTCAAAGATGTTTTACCACAAAAACTGGGACACTAAATAATTTACGTCCCACAAATTACACTTATTAACTTCCTTACAATGCTCTATGATAACCACAGGTATTAAAATGCTAGCCTACCAGAATATAGCATACCAGCAGACTAGAACTTTATTTGTCATTAAGGCTTTTCTTGTTAAATATGATTAATAGCATTGTTATCATGTCATTTACATATAAAGAAATTCCAATTTCTAACTCGACTATATGATTATTGCTATAAATTGATCATTGATCGCAAACAACGAAAAACCCTATATTACAAATATTGATTTTATCGATTCATTTATAAACATAATAAAATGTATTTTTTTTCCTTCTGTTTTTAAAATAATGATGGCTTTCTTATTTCCAAGGTCAATTAATCGAGTTCGATGCCATCTAGCAGACACAGCACGCTTTTGCACGTGCTCACGTGTGTGTATCTCTCTAATCTTACAGAGAAAATAATGTCTCCGCTCTAACATATAGCAAACACATAACATATTCCCATATAATTTCCTCTATAATTATTTCTTGATTTATCTTCCAAAAACAAAACTAAATATCTTCTCATGTGAAATGAGAATGTAAAAAAGTTCTATACCAAAAAAGGAAAAAAAAATGAGAAATAATAATAAATCTGTTCTATACTGGAATAGGAATAAAAGTGTACGAGAGCAAAAATCCGATAATAAATCATGCAGAGCTTGTTTGTCACTAAGATTTCTATTATGTATATATTTCATCAAAGAATATCTGCTCTCTCTCTGTCTCTATTCTAGAAAATACGACTGATAGTGTAAATAATTTATGATTGTATAACTTATTAGTTCTTGTATTTTAATTTTTAATTACTGATGTTTGGGGTACTGTTCCTATCGGAAAAAGCAGTACTGCTTCTTCTGTTACTGTTTGTGCTGTTTTTTCTGTTACTGCCTGTACTGCTTCTTCTGTTTCTGTTTATATTGTTTTTTCTGTTACTGTCTGTACTGCTTCTTCTGTTACTGTTTCTGCTGTTTTTTTCCGTTACTGTCTGCATTGTTTTTTCTCTTTCTGTTTATACTGTTTTTTCTGTTACTGTCTATACTGTTTCTTATGTTACTGTCTATACTGTTTCTGTTTTTTTCTGTTACTGCTTCTATTCACTGTTATTTACAAAAAATCGACCCAATGATAAAAAGTTGAAAAAAGTAAATAGAAGTAAACGGAAGTAACAGAAATAACAAATGTAACAGAAGTAACAGATGTAACAGAAGAAACAGAACTAACAGAAGAAACAGAACTAACAGAAGAAACAGAAATAACAGATGTAACAGATGTAACAGAAGTAACAGAACTAACAGAAATAACAGATGTAACAGAAGTAACAGAACTAACAGAAGAAACAGAACTAAACAGAAATAAACAAAAGTAAATAGAAGAGAATAATCATCAAAGAATAACAATAAAGAAAAAAATTTGCGGCCACCTACAAGCATTCCTCTTCTCAGAAATCGAGAGATGAAGTATTATTACGTACGCCTGTGTATTGGATGATTCGAGATGACGTAATGCAGCGTCCGTACACCTGTTGGTAGTGCCGAGCTATGTAATGATCTTCTTGTCGTCTCATCAAGAATTGCCAGGCTCATAAAGAACGATACGTCAACCTTGACACCTCCAGCGATCCACTGCACAATATTCAATCCACGTGGAACAACACATATCCTTCTTGTTAAATTATGCGTGTGCTGCACTTGCAATAATCTATTCCCCCGAAAATACACAATTCCAACACAATCTACACAATACACATCATATTTTCACACGTCACATCGCAATAGATACTAACCTCTGACAGCACACACTAACCTACACGACTTAATGCTTCCTCCAGAGTCTAACACTTCACACTCCCCATTTCTTTCCTTCCCTCCCCAAACAAAATCCTCCGAAGTGTTGCAGCACTATCCAAACACACAGGGTTAAGAACCTTCTATCGAAATTTGCAAACAAGGAACAAAAAAAATTACAGTACTAGGTGGTAATGCATCTAGTAAAAATATCTAGTAGTAATGTATCTAATAGTAATGTATTTAGCAGTAAAGTATCTAGTAGTAATGTATCTATCAGTAATGTATCTAGTAATGTATCTAATATTGTATCTAGTATTGTATCTAGTATTGTATCTACCAGTAACGTAATCCAAGATAGTGTGACTAATCCGAATCCGAACTAATCGGAGAATTTCGATTTCGAATTCAAGAGGAAGGATGCAACAATTAAAAAGCCGGCTTTTTTTCGGGGTAAGAAAAGGTAAACGAGACGCGGCTCTGCTCGAGATCTCTCTATAAATCCGACACAGCGGACGAACGAACGAACAAACGTGTACGCAAAACCCGAGCAAGCAAAGCCTCGCTCGGTGAACAGCCCGCGGCCCCCACGTTGTTTGTCTCGCGGAGTGGCCTGTTTACATGTTGACTCTCTGTTTACGCGTTTCGTCCATCTCCCCACCCCATCCCCTTCTCACCCACGATCCGCGAGCCGCGTTACCACTTCCTCCTCTTGTCCCTCTTCCTCGAAACTTGACGCTCTCCTTGTCACAGATTCGTCTTCTCTCTTACACCCACATGACCCCAAGTCCAGATCTCTCTCATTCCTTCTTGCCACACGTATACGTTCACTCACACACATGTCAATGTGACGACTATCAAACTGAAGTTCACGACAAAGAAATATGAAAAAAAAGTTAAGTGTAGATATACATATACATATAGGAAGCAGACTAAAATCGTGGGAATCAAAAACATTGCTATCTACCTGTATATGATGTTATGACATACTGTTCGCAAAAAAAATGGGTGTTTGCGAACTTTTATTTTCTTTGCTAAATACTGGATACTATTTTCTTTATTAAATAGTAGGCAAACACTCATTCATTAGGAATGGGAAGCAAAAATTGATAATTGGGAAAAGTTCGCTTTTGGTTAAAATCGTTTGGATGAGAAGCATTTTTGACTGAATTTTAGCTATAGGGAGCATGATTGTGGGTCCTAAAATTGATTCAATCTGGTTTTAGGCTAAAAATAGACTACATTGCAAAAAGAAGTATCTTAAAAGTAGCTAGTTAAAACTACTACTAAAAGTAGTAGTTAAAAACATCTTAAAAACATAAAACATCTTTAACACCTTAAACATCTTAAAGACATCTACTTAAAACATCTTATATCAAGATGCTTCTAGTCTAAATATGTATCTTACAAGGCTCGAACCAGTGAAAGTATTTAAAAATACGGACTTTAAGGACCAAAAATAAAAAATTACGGACCATTTACCATAAATTATTAACAAAAATATAACCAGTTCGAATCAGAAAAGAAAATATTTCACTTAAAACTGTAAATTAAATTTTTTCACAACTATAAAACATGAAGAAATCAATCACTCCGAGTCTTCGACAAAATAAAATCATTTTTTTTTCATTATGTTACTGTCAGTTCATCAAAATTATTTTCATAATTTCAATTCAATTTTTATTTTCAAGAATTTTTTACTAAAATTCTTCCTTTAATCAATTATACTTAATAATTTTTTTAATTAAATGTACATTAGAAAATAAAAACTTCAAATAATAAAAAAAAATTCAATTAAACTTTTTCAAAGAAATTAATTTCAAAATTAAATTATTTCTAAAAATTCACGTTATACATATTGCTTTTAATATTCAATTATTATTATTATTATCTAAAATTTTAACTAAAATTAATTTTTAAATCAATTTTTATTAGAAAATTCTACTAAAATTCAATTATTTAAATAGAAAATTGAAATTTTGACGAGAATTTTTAAAAATCGTTTTTGAACATAATTGAATTTTCGCGTAGAATTTTATTACTTTTGAAAATAATTGAATTTATGCAAATCAATTTTTATTAGAAAATTCTACTAGAATTCACTTATTTAAATTGAAAATTGAAATTTTTACGAGAATTTTAAAAAAAAATTTTGAACATAATTGAATTTTTGCTAAGAATTTTATTATTTTTGAAAATAATTGAGTTTCTTCAAATCAATTTTTATTAGAAAATTCTACTAGAATTCAATTATTTAAATACAAAAGTAAATAATTGATTGAATAATAATTGAATGTTTCTTAAAATTGAATTCTCAAAAAGAAGTTTATAAACAAATTTTTAAATAATTAAATTCTTTTGACGAATTTTAATAAAAATTTTTAGAATAATTACATTTTCCGAGAAATTTGATTAAAAATATTTTAAAAATAATTGAAATTCTGCGATGAGTTTTATTATTTATAAAAATAATTGAATTCCTAAAAAAAAATTTATTATTAAAAAAATAATTGAATCCCTGTAAAAATTTTATTATTTATAAAAATATGTAATTGAATTTTTGCAAAGAATTTTATTACTTTTATGGAAGTAATTGAATTTCTGCAATCATTTGTATAATTTCTCTAAAATTCAATAAAATTACGCATGTTACGGACCTTTTTTTAAAAAAAACGGATTTTTACGGACTTTAAGCAATTTTATGGACCTTTACGGGATTTACGAACCTAGTTGGAGTTTTGATCTTAATATAAGATGTTTTAAGTAACTTTGTAATTAAAAACATCTTTTTAAATCATAAAACATCTTAAACATCTTAAAAACATCTTATATCAACTTATCAAGATATTTCTGGCCTGAACTACAATTTATTTGTCGGGATAACTAAAATAATGTAGTTTGACAAATACTAATGAAATGTTTTGTTGTCACAAAAGTTTAACAAAAAATTAACAGATTTTTAAAATTCGGTCTAAATAGAAATTCACAGTTGTTCTGTTTTTTCCGGTTTCGCGAATAACCACACTTTTTATCAGAACATAACTGCACTTCTTGCACTATCAGAAAACAAAACTAATATGGAGAATATAATATGACAATAAACTTTCTTTCCTTTTGTAAAATTGCACTATTAAAAATTGTCGTAAATATAGCTCATGATCCATTCTTTCATTTATTTCGAGGCATTTCAAAGTATTTCAATTTTCAAAGCACATTTCGAAGCAATGATAATAGACAATTATGTACATAATGCTTATAAAACACTATCTCTGTCCATTCATTCTCCAATATGGATTATATTATAGATTCAAGGTTAATTCGACCTTAAGCCAACAGACAGATATAATGCTAGTTGACGTAGCAAATAGGCATTATCGCACGAAAAAACTCGAGAGTTTCTTAATAAAATAATGTCAATTACACTTTGTGTAATTCAAATCAAACCGTACTGGAGATAATCTTCTCCAACCAGTACGCATTACACACGTGGCCAGTTTAGGGACAGCAGACAGTATTAGGCTTGTAACTTAAAAAAAAGTTGTTAATATTTGTGTCTGGAATAATGTTTAACAATCGCATTTAATGTAAATATTATTTTGTCTAAAGTATAAAAAATACCACTTTCGGTAGAATCAACATTTGACAATTAATTTTGCGCAAATTAAATTCTTACTCTCAAGTATGAAATAAAGTATTTAAAGGAAGAAGTTCTTAAAAAAAATAAAGGCAGAACTTCTTCCTTTAAATAATAACTAATACCGAATGATAAATTCCTTTTCTGTAATTAATTAAAGAAAATAGTTTTAATAAAAAACCACCTAATTTTAAAAGTAGGTAAATTAAAAAATCTTAGCTCAAAAAAGCACTTTCAAAAAAATCACCCATAAGTAATAATAAACAATGCGGTACAGAAATTATAGTGTGGATTATAATACAGTGTGGAAATGAATAACCTCTGGTGAAATTGAACAGAAAATAATAATGAAAGACGAATCTTAAAAGAAAGATGCACACATGGAATACACGAAGAAGAACAAGTAGAAACAGTGAGTCTGCACAAGGCCAGCCACTGACCTAACGCTGTGCATATAAGTATATTATAGTATTACATATTACACATATATGCATGTATATTACATATCAAATAAGGAATGTATAAAGACTGTTTCCCCCCACCACTAACTCACTCGACTATAATAATTGCTAAAGTCTTAAACTATCCCAACGGGAAGTTGCCAATGTTAACGATTGGTTCAATAATGGGCCATGCTTGGTGCCCAATGGTTTTTTCTTGGCAAAACAATTGGCAACCATCATTGGACCACCAATGGTTTAAACTTGGGATGATCACGCTACTGCCAATGATCGGTAGCCAAGCATCGGGCCAATATTAGTTGCCAAGGAATTGCCAAGGAAACAAAATCGATTTTCAAAAGCTTGATTTTTTATTGGCAGCCAACAAAAAACCAAGGTTTTAAAAATTGGTTTTTTTTAATTATTAATTAAAATTTATTTTTAAAAAATATATTTTTCAAAAATTTATTTTTTAAAAATATATATTTTTTTAAATTAATAGAACATATTAATTTAATTTGTCACCTCTGGTAAAACAAAGATGAAAGACTGATAAATTCCCTCACTTTATATCTTACAGTGGAGGGATAACTGTGAATGTGCGAGAGAGGAGCAGGTACTTATATAGAGCCAGTGAAACAGGTCACAAGCGAGAAAAAATCACTAGCATGCACTCTGGCGGCGCTTGTCGGAACTGTTTTCTGGCGCGCATGCATATCCTGACGTTATCGACACAGCGCTTGGCAACCAACGTTGCGCCACTTCCGACAAGCGCCGCCAGAGTGCATGCTAGTGATTTCTTCTCGCTTGTGACCTTTCTCACTGGCTCTATATAAGTACCTGCTTCTCTCTCGCAAAGACATTCACAGTCATCCCTCCACTGTAAGATATAAAGTGAGGGAATTTATCAGTCTTTCATCTTTGTTTTACCAGAGGTGACAAATTAAATTAATATGTTCTATTAATTTAAAAAAATATATATTTTTAAAAAATAAATTTTTGAAAAATATATTTTTTAAAAATAAATTTTAATTAATAATTAAAAAAAACCAATTTTTAAAACCTTGGTGTTTTGTTGGCTGCCAATAAAAAATCAAGCTTTTAAAAATCGATTTTGTTTTCTTGGCAATTCCTTGGCAACTAATATTGGCCCGATGCTTGGCTACCGATCATTGGCAGTAGCGTGATCATCCCAAGTTTAAACCATTGGTGGTCCAATGATGGTTGCCATTAATGTTCCAATAATGGAACGGAGTTCGCCAAGCATGGCCCATTATTGAACCAATCGTTTACTTCCCATTGGGATCTTGTAAATATTACGAAACTTCAGTATAGAGCGTGTTACCTATTCTTCAAAGATTTTCTCAATAAACATAATGCAAAAGAGGGTAACGACAATTCTAATGAATATACAGTAAATTAATAACAGGTATTCTGATGCGAAAAAAAAATGAGAATGTAAAAAATCACTAAATTACTATTCTGCGGAAAAATAAATTGTCAAAGAGGCATATTAAATTAATCCCACGTTTAAGAACAATTTTCTGCCTCTTATGAAATAATTATTATTGTCATAAAAAC